GTTACTTACCCACTAGATGGCGCCATCTGTCAGTGCTGATCTTTGATTTTATCCTCCAATGCGTTTACTAAAGGCTCATCTCCCATTTATTCTATCATTGTAGTATTTCTGCCCTACATACACACTGTTTTAATGGATACTTTATTATTTTTCCAGCCAGAGTCTGAGATAGAGACAGATAAAAATGGATTTTTGCAGTATGATGGTAAGTGCATTAGCTTGTCAAACATTATACACTTGGTGCTCACTTTCCTTTTCACATTCAAAGAACTTTACTGTCTATGAAGACAGTCCTAAGATGTGTTTAAAGATAGTGCTGTACCTTAGAAACCTGCCTTATTTGGCTTCTGATTTATGTTCAACTTTTTAAATCAGTTAAATTCTTTTGCCAGTTTTATATTTAAAACTAAAAACATTGGCATGGTAGATTTTTCTTCGGAAGCTGGGCCAAGGTTGATTTGCTGTTTCTCTACTCATCTCTGCCCTGGGCTTACACAGCAACTGTACGTCCCACCCCCACCCCGCCCCACAGAGAATCTTGCCTGGACACCCTCTAAACTCCCCTCTCAGCTTTCCTCCCTGGTGGTCAAAACACTGGGTGGCTGTTTTTTCTTTTTACTGCTCAGAAAGGTTTGTATGTCTTTTTTTTCGATGGATTCACCTCATTCCATTTTCCCAAGACCACACTGTTTTGAAGCCAAAGGATACTAGTCCATCAGAAAATGTTTATTTTCCCATAGAAAATATCATGGTGATAGGATGTTATATTTAATGGTATTATTAACTTTTATAATTAACAAGATGATCATTGAGTGCTTATGCAAACTAGCAACAGAAGGAGCTCTCTTTAAAGGCATAAAGTATGTTCTTTATTTTAACTTTGATAACCCTGAAGGAAAAATGTTGTGTAATCAGTTCCTGCAGATACATGATAGTTTTAAGAAAGGCAAAATCCTTCCTTGACTCTCTGTTCTGTGTCTTGAACTGCAGCCAGGATTTTTTTTTTTTTTTTTTTTTACC